GGGGGGGGGGGGCGCGGGCATTTCCCTCCTTTGTTTCTCATAGGCTCTTTTTGCAATGATGTTACAATACTTTAATGAAAAAAAATAAAAAATGTTAAAGCTATAAAACAACTATAAATCAGTCATCATGATAATTTTTTTCCTTTACTGAGCCTTCATGTGTCCCCTGCTTCATTAACCTTGTGGATGGGTGTCAGGGAGGGTAGAACAGAAGCAAAGAGGAACCAAGGCCTGCCTTTGGGGAGTTCATGGTCCACAGGGAAAGGTCTTTTACATACTAGCAGCCTGTAGAGCCAGACATGAAAGGATAGAGCAGGATCTTTTCAACTTAAAAACAAATTTTTTAATGGTAACAAAATACACATAACATAAAATTTACCTATAAGTGGAATTGCTGGATTGATTATATGGTAATTCTATTTTTAACTTGTTGAGGAACTGCCCTGCAATTTTCCATAGTGGCTTAACCATTCATTCTACATTTCTACCAAAAGTACACAGGGGTTCCAATTTTTCCACATTCTCACCCATATATATTTTTTAATGTCCTCATTGATTTTTGTTTAGAGAAAGAGGAAGGGAGAGGGGGAGAGAGAGAGAGAGAGAGAGAGAGAGAGAGAGAGAGAAATATCAATGGGAGAGAGAAGGAAGGGAGAGGGGGAGAGAGAGAGAGAGAGAGAAATATCAATGGGAGAGAGAAACATTGATCAATTGCCTCCTGCACGCACCCTGACCAGCGATTGAGCCCTCAACCCGGGCATGGGCCCCAACTGGGAATCGAACTGGCAACCTTTTGGTGCACAGGACAGTGCTCAACTAACTGAGCCACATAGGCCAGGGGTACTTTTTTAAAAATATTTTTATAATAGATGGTTTAAACTTTTTTGACCGTCACTCAGTGTAAAACATATATTTTACATCTAGCTTACACTTTATAGACATACACACATACGTCTAGCTAAAACAGAAGCTTTGCAAAACAAATTACACTTAATACACAGGATTGCTCTATTTCCTATTCTATTGTAATATAAAAAATGCGGGTCATGACCCGCTCAATTGCTTTCATGATCTACTAATGGGTCACAGTGTATGTAGTTTGAAAAACACTGGCGTAGAGCACTCACTGGAGACTGCACTTTTCTGGAGTCAGAGATTGTCTGTTTTCTCCCCTTCTCCCCTACAGGCTTCATTCTCTGATTCCCTTTTTGTAAAGATGTTGAGCAAAAGAAATGCAGGAATGAGGGAATAAAGGAAGTCAGTCCATTATAGCAGACTGTGGAGGAGACCACAGCCCACATCCGAGCACCAATACCAAAAAGAACCCTGCCTGGCTACAGTCCCATACCCGGCACACGGCCCCATGTGCTGGGCCTTCTCTGCCTCTCCCAGCCCAGGCTTGGCCAGGTCATCTCTGGTGTCCCCCTCTGAGAGTGGACCTGACCATGTCTTTCCCTACACAGAAGGGGCAGAGCTTGTCCCAATTAGGAAAGTGTATCCCGGGCCTTGTAATCTCACAGTCTGTCACCTGGCTTTTCCAGTGCAGCTCTGCTTGATGAAGGGCCCCTCGGCTGTGTTGGAATGCCTTTCCTTCACTGGACAGACTGCAGGCTCCTGAGCGATTATCATCCGCTGAGCTCACACAGAATTTGAGGCACCAAGTGGTCAGATTAGGGACAGAAGTGTGGACCTTTCCTTTAAAAGCAGCGCTTCCCACATTACTCATTTTCAACAGTCTGTTCAGTTTCACACAATAGGGAAGGATAGAGGGAGGGACGTGAAGGAGACAGTGACTGAAGAAAAGCAAGCTGTGCAGGCACCGGAAGGGAACTTGCATTTCAGAACACTGAGTTCAAACCCTAGTCCAGGCCCTTAGGTATGTGACCTTAGGAAATAACTTCCCCTCTCTTGTGCTTCAGTTTCCTTCTCTGTAGATTGGTGATAATCATAGGATGGTACCTACCTCTTTTTTTAAAACTATAATTTCTTTTTATTGTGGTAAAATTCACATAAGAAAACTATTTTTACCATTTTAAAGTGTAAAATTCAGTGACATTTAGCACACTCACAATCTTTTTGTTGTTGTTAATCCTTACCCAAGGATATTTTGTCCATTGATTTTTATTTTTTATTTATTTCATTTTTAAATTTTTAATTTTTAATCCTCGCCCAAAGATATTTTTCCATTGCTTTTCAGAGAGAGTAGAAGGGAGAGACAGACAGATGTTGATGTGAGAGAGACACATCGATTGGTTGCTTCCTGCATGCAACTGAGGGACGTGCCCTTGGCCGAAATCCACCTTGGGACCTTTCAGTCCACAGGCCGACGATCTAACCACTGAGCCAGATCAGCTAGGGCTCCATTGAGTTGTATAGAGAGTGGGGGGAGGGAGGCGGGGGGGAGGGAGGAGGANTTATGGACTTGTGGTTTGATAACTGCCTATAAAAGTGTTCCACACTTAATGGGCCCTCAATATATGTTTGATGGATTGATGTCCATACTGCTTTTCAACTAGGCATTCAATGAATGAATGAATGAATGAATGAAGTGACCGAATAATGAGCCCCTGGTACAACTCTGCCAGGTGTACCCCTCCTATATGAACCTAGTTCTTTCCAACTTTAAGGTGTGAGACTGGTTTGAGGGGAGAAGTGGTCTCTAGAGGCATCAAAACAGAGAACCTACTGTCTTTTCAAGGCAATTTAAAGGCAGTGTTCACTCCTTCCCTTAAGGCCTAGTGATTAAATCACAAAGCATTTTACAGGCATTGGTGAATACCTTTTGCCAATTTGTGTCATCTAGGTTGGTGAGTTATGAGAACTATGTCCATCACCATAATAAAAACAGCTATTATTGAATACTTATTATGTGCTAGATGTTGTGCTGATTTCTTTACATAAATTATCTAAGTCCTAACAACAACCCCATGAAGTAGGTATGATTATTATCCCCATTTTACAGAAGAGGAAACTGAAACACAGCTAGTAAGCAGAAAGGCAGGACTTGAATCCAGAAAGTCTGATTCCACACTGTGCTGTCTACACAATGAATTGGTAGAGTAGAGAACTGAGTTCTAAACCTGGCCCTGCCATTGGCTTGCTCTGTGACCTGCAGAAGTCATTTTTCCTCTCTGGTCTTTAGCCCCTTCTGATCACATAACTAAAGAATGACAGCACCAGTCTTAAAGCCTATTTATTTTTTTCTTCATTTAAAAAAATTCTCACTGGAGGACATGTTTTTCATTGATTTTTAGTGAGAGAGGAAGGGAGGGGGGAGGAGGAGAAGGAGGAGGAGGAGGAGAGAGAAAGAGAGAGAGAAACATGGATATGAGAGAGACACATCAATTGGTTGCCTCCCGCTCCTGCCTGACCAGGGCTGGGGATTGACCTGCAACCCAGGTACATGCCCTGTCTAGTTCCAGAATATCTCCATTACCCCAAAAAGGAAACCTGGAAGCCATGAAGCAGTCACTCCCCATCGTGCCCGCCCCCACCTCCTGGCAACCACCAAGCTGTTTTCTGCCTCTGTGCATTTAGCTATTCTGGACATTTCTCATAAATGGAAACATACAATATGTATCCTTTTGTGGCTGGCTTCACTTCACTCAGCGTAATGTGTTCAGGGTTCATTCATGTGTGTGAATCAGAATGTTATTCCTTTTTATGGCTGAATAGTATTCTACTGTATGGGTGTGCTACATTTTGTTGATAGACATTTTTTGGCCATTGTGAATAGTGCTGCTGTGAACATTTATATGCAAGTTTTTATTTGAACATCTGTTTTCCGTTCCTTTGGATACATACTTTGGAGTAGAAGTGTTGAATCATTGAAAATTCTATGTCTGACTTTTTGAGAAGCTCTACTCCATTTTGGGATGGGTACACTCAGCACTGAACCTGGCACACAGTAGTAATAAAAACACAGTCATCACCATCAGGTACTAAGTGCCAGGTACTCTTCCTAGCATTTTACTTAGTAACTTACTTCATCCACATTACCCTGTGAGGTAGAAAGCACAATCATTCCCATTTACTGAGAGGGACTGAGGCCCCATAGTTTTAAGTGCTCTGTCTAAGGTGCTTGATGGCTGTTCTGATCCAGGCAGAGTTGGGGCTCCTCGGGCAGAGTGAAGGCCACAGGGAGGCCAGTTTCAGCTCAGTGGAAGGGTTTCCTTCCTATTACAACTTGGCTGCTGTAGAGGAGCTGCTTCCTGCAGCAGCGAGCACTTTGTCCCTAGAGCTGTGTAGGCTAGATGTGGAACAAGCCTTGAGGAGTTGTTGGGCAGTGATTCCTGGATGCCAGCACCTCAGGGTCACAAGGTGAAGCCATGGAGGGCGTGGGAAGACTCCTGTTCCCTAGGGTCTCTGGGTTTTGGACTGGGCAGCCTGTACCTGTGGCTGGGTGAGGCCTTGGGGATTGGGCTGACCCCAGGCCTGGGTTCCCAGCCCTTGTCTTGCTGCGAGTCATTTCTGATTCTCCTTTTCTGACTTTGCAGCCAGCGGGGGCACAGATAGCTCAGGCGCAGGCCCTGGGGCTGGCTGAGGCTCAGCCTGTGGCCATGGTACAGTCGGTGCCTGGGACACACCCTGTGCCCATGTACGCCTACTCCATCAAAGACCCCTCCTGCAGAGAGGTAAGTTCTTGACAGTCCACCATCCCTCCTGAGAGCCCAGATCCCAGCAAGCAGCAAGAATTGGAGCAGAGTCAGAATCAAGACCTTAGCACCTGCTCTATGCCCTTCCTTGCCCTTGGCTGCGCTGTCAGGAATTCCCCTCTACACTGAGCACATGAGTCACTCCCAGGGCAGGCCGAGGCTCGCGGTTAGCAGGCAGGGCCAGTATGCATGGCAACCTGGGAGGACTTTCTGTGTGGAGAGAGGCAGGCTCTGCCTGGTAGAGAGCAGAGGGGATGGCCACAGTCCCCTGCCACCCAGGTCTGGGTCTCTGGAGGCTCCTGACCTGGCACTATGACTCCCCGTTGCACAGGAGGTCTCCAACACAGCCATGCCACAGAAGAGGAAGTCCTGCCAGACCGAGTGCCCCAGGAAGGTTATCAAGATGGAGTCTGAGGAAGAGAAGGAGGCCAGGTTGTCCCTGAGTTCCTCTGAGCAGCCTAGGCCCAGCACCTCCAAGGCAGTCTCACTACCGCCCCTGGAGGAGTCCCACAGCCCCAAGAGCCACACCATGGGAAATGAGGAATTACTGCTCAACAGCAACCAGGAGACTGGCGACTCTGGGGAGGCAGGTAGGGAGGTAAGGGGCAGCAGAGGCTGAGGCCTGCATGCTGTCCTCCAGGGGCTCGGTGGGGCCCTATTCTGTAACCTGATCCTCCCACCCAGGGAGCCCAAAGCCAACAGCATTCCCTGTGTCCTGCCCTCAACTGCCACCAAACAGAGCAAGTAGAGCCCACAGTTTGCCTGGGAGGTGAGAGTGCATGCCATTTATTTTACCATATGCTTTGCTAGGATTCCAGTGTGGGGAGCACGAGGGACTGAAACCCACAGTTCCTTATCTCCTTCACCCAACACACTCTTGCAGAACCAGCACCATGCCTCTGCACAGTGTGGGTCTCCCCATGAAATGTTTGTTTGGTGGGTGTCTAGTATGTTCCCAGAGAGGACTTAAACCAAGTCCACACCCAACAGTTCCCAAGTTTTTCTGCAAAGCCTACCGCCTGAGGGCCTTCATTTGGCCTAGATATCTTTTATGGTCACTGCCAGATAGAGAGTCCTTGGGCAAGACTTGAGGTTGACTCATAGAATTCTGGAATGTTCAAGACAGTCCAGCTTTGTTCTCATTCTAGGTCCCAGTCTGAGCCCTGACTCTGCTCACACACCCAGCCCTAACTAATATTCCTTGCTCACAAATACTATTGGTAAATCAAAAGTTTTTAACTAGATATAGGGTATCTTTTCACTGAACATCTCAACTTATGGGTCTGAGAATTGGAATACAGCAATGGGCTTCTTTAGGATTGCAAAAGGTTCCAAACCAGTTGGTGCTTGTCAAGCCTCCACAAGGAGCAAATTCTGCTGTCAGGGCCAGCAGCTGGATTAGGTACTCACAGATAGGGCCCAACAGGCAGTCTTGGAAAGCCACTGTGAATAAACAGATCCACACAAGCACACACAGTGAATGTTGACATCCCCTCTTGCAGGCCACACATCACTCACCCAGTCCACTGGCCTGCAAGGGTTCCCGTGGGAGAACTGGGGGCTGAGGGAAAGGAGCAGGCATTCCCAGCAGGGCCTAATGCTGCCTCCCCTGCCTCATTTCAGAGGAGCCCATTGTGGTGATCAGCAGCTCAGAGGACTCAGATGCCGAAAACTCGGTGAGTGGCCCAGAAGTTTGGCCCGGGGTTCCTGCCTCCCCCATTCCAGGTCCCAGGGGACACAGCTCCAGCAGGTGACTCTCAGATCTACCTTGTCCCTGGGGCATTTTCCAGCAAGGCAGTAAGTCCTGAGCTGTCCTGAGGACAGTCTCCAAATGCCAGCTGTGGGCCTGGACCACCCCAGCCCTCCATCCAAATGAGGGGCCTTCGGTAACCATATGTTCTCTTCTGAACTGCTGATAGAGTGCTTCCTTCCAGTGCTGTCTCTTTTCTGGACTAGCCATTGCCTTTGTTGGGAGCTTCCTTATGTATTTCTGTCCCCTCCTCAACAAGGAGTGTAGACACCAGTGAGGGTGAATTTGAGGGGTTGTAAGAGCACGGGGCAGCACTACATAGGGGCCAAACAAGCAAGTTTCACTTTAGGTAAGAAAGAACTACTTTAAAGCCATCTATAATGAAACAGTGGCTTGTGGGTTGTGAGCCTTCTGCCCCTGAGGTTTGTCAATGGGGCTGGGCAGTCACCTGTCCAGGGGAAAAGAGGATCTAAGCAGAGTGAAAGGTTGGACTGGGTGGCCTCTAAGTCCCTTCCAGCCCTCAATCTGAGGTTCTGTATTGGAAAGTGCTTGGAGCCCATGGAGACCGTTGCAACGTACTGCAGACCAGCCCACCCCCTGCTGAGAGCACTAGGAACATCCCAGACCTGCCGGGCCTCTCGTCTGTCCCGTCTATCCCGAGGCATATCCCACTGCCTGGCTTGGCCTCCCTACAGTCCCACCAAGCAAGCTGTCATCCCTGATGCAAAGTCTCCCAGCCAGCCTGCCGAGTACCAGGAGCACACTGCCATCCACCGTGGGATCAGCTGCCTGCCTCGCAGAATACAAAGAGCCACCCGCCTTCGCCACATCCACTTGCCATTCAAAGCATATTGTACCCCCACATCGACTTGTCCTTCCCCCATGGTTCAGACCACCACCTTTGCCATTACAGGTCCTCCCAACCATCCTGCCACCCCCCAGGAGGGTCTTGCTTCCCTCCAAAAGGCGACCAGCCAACCCCGACCGGCTCAAAGGGCAGGGCGGTCTCTTGGCCACTCCGTCCGGGGGTCCCCCCAGGTAGTTCAGTGGCTCAACAATTTCTTTGCTCTTCCTCTCTCCTCTGTGGCTCCTCAGCTTGATGCCTCTCTCAAGGAGGGCAGGGCAGGGGGCCAGTCACCCCAGACTCTCGGGGCAGGACTCTCCCCCCAGGATTCTGACAGGACCCCTGTGGAGAATCCCCAAATCCAGGTCCCTCCAAATGCATCGCTACCACTCCCCTCCTCAGAGAGGCCCCATACCAGCCTGGGTGCCCCTCAGACAAACCTCTGAGAGCCCCAAGTGCCTCCCTCTACAGCTGCTGGTCACCATCCTCTTGTAACCTTGTGGCCAGCACCCACATCCTGCTCCATCCTGCTGCCCAGCCTAGCCCACACACCTAAAGGCCCTACACACAGTAGGCATTCATACATCTTGATCAAGGAGTGAACCAAGGAAGGAATGGCTGCATGGACTCTGGGCACAGAGACTCTAGTCCTCTTTAGCCGAGAGGGCATGACAGATTCAGCCCACCACTCCTCACATGCCTGGGCCTCTGCTCAAGAAAAGGAAGCTTCTCTTGACCTTTGTACCTCCCACTGCCCCATCCCCCTACCCCATGCCTATCCACTGGGCTTCTGCCAGGAACTAAGCCCCTGAGGGCAGGGACTGTGTCGATCATAGGACCTGGCCGATGTGGCTGCTCAATAAATGTTTGTTGAAAGATCACCCTTGCAAACCCTTCCTCATGACCAACAGATTCCCTGCTGGACTTAGCTCTTCTCTACAGATGGCTTTTGTCACCTCCCTGCACTGAAATTTGGTTTCCTGTCGGGTTACTCTGTCCCTCTTTCTGCCATACTCTATGAGTGTCAGAGATAGGAGGTGGGGTCAAGGCCCTCTGTGCCTCCTGGGCTGTTTCAGTCCCACCATCTGATAAGACCACCTGTGCTTTTGAGGTTCCAGGTCTTGAGGTGAACCCCCCTTCCCCCACATAGGGAAGACTCTGGCACCTGCTTCCTAAGATTCTTCTCCCTTCTTCCTGGAGACTACAGCCTCCTCCACCCCGCCTCGGCTCCTTGACCTCTCAGGGGTCTTCACTGCAAGGCCACCCCTGGAACCTCACCATCACTGAACTGCCCATCTCTAAACTGACCCACTCAAGACTGACCACAGCCACCTGTCCCATCAGTAATTTCCAGGACCTCCACTCTCTCCCACCCAGCTCCTCCTGGCCTCCAGTTAGGCCTGCCCTCCAAAAACAACTCTGGAGAGATTCAGTAGCTTGCCTCTGCATTGCCACCTGGAGCCAAATCCTGTTGGAGAAAATCAACAGGAGGAAAACCACAAGTAATAGTCTAAGGCACTCTCCTGCCTTCCACCGCAGCTCACTGCACCCCAGCCTGAGCTCCTGCAGGTGACTGTACCCTCTGCCCTGGAAGACAACAGGAACTCTCAGGTGCTAAGGGAGCCGTGGACATCTTGCTATCCAATATCCAGTCACATTGACTCGGCCCCATCACATTCTCCCTGTCCTGTTAGGGTGGAGGGACATCGACCTCCCTATGGGACTCCTCTTTCCTGGCCCAGCACCCCTGCCTCCTTGAGAGCCTACCCCATCTCCCTGTTGTCATATGCATCTTCAAATACTTCCACTTCCTTCTGTGCTGTAACTAAGCATGCTGAAGGAAGATTTCCCATCTCAGAACCTCTCTTTCCTTACCGCCTGTGTTTCCAGCCCCTGGGAACTCCTTGCTCACCTCCCTTCCATGCTCTCCCTCGTTGTACCAGTGGAGCCTTCCCACCAGCACCAGAGAAACCTCCCTGCCTCCAAGTCCAATGTTCACCTTTAGTCGTTACTCTTGACCAGCATTGGATCCTCCTGAGAGACTAATTCCCCTTGGTTCAGGAGGGCTCCCTCCTGCAGCCTGGCTGCCATTCCTCTCCTTCAAGGCCTCTGTTCCTTTAAATGTTCTAGCTTTGGTTCTGAGCCCTCTTCTCTTTTGGTCTGTATATTCTCCCGTAATCTCAGCCAGGCCTGTGTCTTCACTTACAGCTCAGGGGTTGATACCAGACCAGTACAGCCAGAGGCCCTCCCACAGCTGCACTCGGATATCTCATAAAGACCTCAAACTCGTCTCTTGCTCTGCTTGGTGAATTGCACCATCTGCCCAGTTACACAAGCTGAGACCTTGGAGCTGCCCAGGACCTCCCCTTTCTATTCCTCACAGCCAATCCATTTTTGAGTCTTGTCTTTCCACGTTCTGAAATCTGGGCACTTTTTTCCATCTCATAACCTTGATAAATTTAAAACAAAATTGAGCCTGGGTGGAGGTGGAAGCCTAAGAAGGAAAGACACAGAAAGGGATTGGATGCCACTGGTCTCACCAGATTTCCTGAGAGTCAAGCAGAGGAACTGACACCAGCTATATTTGGGTGGTGGGGGTGTCAGGCTAATCCTCAGCCATCAGCAGGGAGCTAGGTGGTGCCTAAGGTTGATCAAGGAAGGAAGGAGAAGCACATTGCAGGTGATGAAGAATTAGCTTCTCACCTTTGAGACTAGCTTTGGAGACGTGGAGAGAGCCAGAGGACCACTGCTTTTGTGTAGGTATTCTTCAGACACAGTTTTTAAATTAACCATTACAAGAGTCCCAAACTTTTTGAAAAAAATGTAAAAGGAAACAAATTAGGCCCCTCTGGTGCAATTCTTACCCACCTTTCATGCCCCTTCCAGACCCCTGGTGCTCCTAGAGTATTCGAAGCAGCTTAGAGGGAGGGGGCAGGGTGACATTCCCTGGGTGCTCTGGGCTCCTGCATTCCCATGTCCTTCCCTCTCCGTGGCCTTTGTCCAACGTTCCAGTGACAGTTGTAAAATACCAGCCTGCTAGCATGCCACATTTTCGAAGTGTAACGGCATGTAAACACCTCCGCCCCCCATTCGGGCTGTAGGCGTGTCAATTGCTGCAATGTACACGTGTCTGGAGGCTCTGGTGCAAGCCTGCTTGGCCGAGGAGAGACTGCGTGAGTGGGAGGGGCACTGTGAAAGAGACTTCACCCCTGTCGGATGAGGCAGTGGGGCCATAGTTGTAGTTGAGTGGAGGGGCAAGACCTAGGCCTGGTGGTAGACACCTGGGGTCAGCAGTACCTCTGCCATGGCCCCTGTGTTAGGACCCAAGGCAGAAAAAAATAGGTGTTCTCACCACTCTTGTGACAGATGATTGACCCCAGGGCCTGGCATTGGGAAGACCAAGTGGAAGTAGGAGGGAGCCTAGCCGAGGGGCTGTGTCAGATGTGGCAGAGGAAGGGAGGCCTGTGGGGAGCAGCTGCTCCAGGGGAGGAACAGTGATGCTGGTGAGTGTGTCAGAAAAGTAGGTGTCCCACTGGGAAGACAGGAGCCATGTCCCCTGAGGGGCAACAGCAGCCTGTAGAGGAGCTGGGGCAGTGGGCAAGGAGGCCACAGGCAAGCTAACGAGATGGGCCTGTTCCCAAATACAGGTGAGGTATCTCTGGGGCTTTCCAGATTTTGCAAGAAAGAGCTGGGGTTTTGTATCTGCAAAAACTAGCAATGCATGTGTCTTGTCAAACTGATCCCAGCTGTTGCTTAAGCTTGGATGCTGAGAAAGTCCCTTAGGAGTTGGGGACTCTTAGTAAGCAGTAATATCAGGTACTAACTAGGTAGATATCTTCTGGTGACTAGATGCTGAATCGCAAAAGGTTTTGCTTCTATCTGACTGGTTGATGACGAAACATGGACTAAATCAGTAATTAGGACAGTCCTCAAACCTGCCTGACACTGATCACTTGTGATTTTGCAAATGACAGATTCCTAGGTCCCATCCACAGAGACCCTAACCAAATTGGTTTGGGGTGGAGGCAGGGCATCAAGAGTTTTTTAGCTGCTAATACATAGCCAGAAGAGAGAGCCCTGAAAGAACTGGGGCATTCCGTTGCACAGCCATGTTAAGAGAAGTGCTGCTAAGATGTGTATGTATCAGCCTTTAATGGAGGTGACACATACCTCCTGGGATATTACCCAGAAGGGGAGAAGAGAACTGGATCTTCCCAGATAAACCACCTAGACCTCTGGAAGGTGATTAAAAAGTCAACCCAGCTGCTTCCTATGAGCAAACTTTGGTATAACCATTAGACTTGCTGGGTTGAGTTGGAGTGTGGTTGACCTGCTAAGTTGACCTGTGATGAAAATAAGTGAACTATAACGCATGAACCAGACTGCATGTGTATCCTGAATAAAATCCTGGATCCCTCGTGGCTCAGTCTGAGAAACACATCAAAGAAACACAGTCCACTAGTCAAGTATAATAAAAAAATAAATTCCAATATTTACTTGCATCTTTCAAAGGGATCTAACTCATAACACACAGTAGCACTTTTAAAATTCCTCTTCCACTTTGAGCTACCATCACCTTCCCATTCCCTAGGTCCTCAAAGCGTTTCCCTATGGCTCACTTTCCAGTCCTTACACAGGGACTCTCATCTGTCCCCACTTCATTTCCAACCCCATCCCTTTCCCAGCCAAGCAAACTTCAGCTTTTTCCAAGGCAAGGCGCTTCCCTGGCTTCTTCGGTTCTGTTTTCTCGCACTGTCCCTTTCTCTATTGCACCTTCTACTCAACCATCCTGATAATGGAGTAAGTCGAGGTGTGAGGGGTGGAACATGAGGGTTTTCCTAGTGAGTTGGGCGGGGCGGGGGCGGGGGGCAGAAAGGTGTTTTGCGCCAGGGCCTCTATGTGCTGCTTGTCCTTTAGAAAAGTCTTTTCTAAATGTGCCAGTACTTCCCAGGGTGGGGGAATTGTTTACAGATGGCTAGAGTTCAGTGGAAGGTGTTCCCGTAAATACCCGCCCCACAGAGAAGCCATACTTTATGGAAGTCCCCGAGGAATCTGGAAGCAAGAGGAATCTGGGCTGGGAGATCCAGCTTCCCGCCATTGACAAGCTCAGCGGAAAGGAAGTGGTGCCCTTTCATTAAGGGAGTGTGCAGGGTCTTCAGTAAATAGGACAGAGAACGTTTCCATGACTATAAAAGAAAATGACCTCAGGACAATGGCAGGCTCTAAAAATGAAGTTCTGATGGCCATCATAAATGACCCCCCTATAAAGGTGGGGGAGTTGGCCCAAAGATACAGTTGTGCCACTCTCCAGGGAGCTTAACTTGGAAGAGAACATCCTGAAAGAAGATTCTGGCTCTAAGGCCTGAAGGGACACCGTTGAAGGAAGGAGACAGGGAAAGCCCTCAGGGCCACTGCAAAGGCTTTTGCACTTACGTTTGGACCAAAAAGAAGAAGGAAGAATAGAAAGCCCAGTGTACTATATCAGTGGGTGGCAGGGAGGATTCAGCCAAGGGAATGAATCTTCAGCCACTGGTGAGAGAGAGCTGAGGCCCAGGCGAGGACATAGCAAGGGGAGTCCAGATCTCCACCAGCCCAAGTGAGAGAGCGCCGCTGCCTTGTGAATGAACAGACTCTGGAAGGCTGAAGAGAAAGGTACTGGGTTCCCCCATGGGGGCAGAAGGTGGAGTCTCTGGTGCACCAGTTATCAACTTCAAGGAAGATGCTGTAGAAGACTCCTTACAAGGGAGGGAAGGAAGCCAGGACCCTGAGACAGAGTCAGAGCCAGTTTTGCAAAATTAACCTTGGATGCATGGCCGATTCAAGGATACTGATACGCAAGGCATTTGACAAAGTCTCTTATTAGGGCCTTCTGTCTAAAGTCCCAGAAGTCAGGCTTCTCTGATAAAACCAGCTTTGGATGGATTTCTAGTGAATGTTTCTATCAATGACTGGGAGGAAGTTGATGAGCCTGGGGTAGGGCCTGAAAAAACAAAGTAAAAACCAGCCACTCCAAGGAATGTCCAGCACATGTTAGCTGTGGTTAGTAATGACTTAGCTCTTGGTTGAATTTTTGTTCATTAAATGTTTCACCTGGAGAGTAGAAGGGCCTAGGAGAATTAGCTAATTATCTCCTAGGCCAGGGACATTAATCAGAAGCTAGGGTTCATGGAGGCCTCAAATGATCCCAAAGTGAGGCCAACTCCATCAACCAGCCAGAGGCAGTCCATAGGTGGTAAGACCGAGCCCTGCTCTGAGCTGTGTCCCAGCAGTTCCCCCAGCCAGCCCTGGGACTCTTGCCATGTCCCTCCCGGTCTCTGGCTAATGTCCACAGGTGGCATTCACAGGACATTCTGAGCAGGCCACCAAAGACAACATCTGGGTTTGGCAGCTGTGCAGATAATGAACTATTAAACTCTATAATATGAGAGGCTGCCTCTTCCTCTGTAGCCCCAGCCCCTTGGGAGCTGGAGTCCTTCCCCCACATCAGAGACCTTCCAAACTGTTCTTGCCTTGTGCTCAGCCCAGAGGAGCCTCAGGCTCCCTAAGCAGCTGGCTCCTGGTTGCTAATATCTGGGGTTCAAGATGAGGCTCTTTCCTCCTGTTCCCAGTTCATGTTTCTTGAGTGTGCTCAGAGATCAAGTGAGGAGCAGGCACCTCCAGCCCTCCCCACCATAGCACTGGCCCCTCCCTCAAGCCTCCACACCCAGCACTACTCACCCCTGTGCACACTCACTCATATGTTCACAATTTCACACACATTTGTCTCAACACAGGTTCACAAATTCACACCTCCTGTGCACAACCAGGTGCACACACTTGCCCATATGATTTCATCCTCAGTCCTCCTCACTAATGCACGTGCACTGGCTGAAACACGGCCGGGCAAATGCACGTGTGTCCATGTCCTATCAGGCACACACATTCCCATGCACGAGCACTAACCTAGACACACACCTTCCCTTCCCCAATAACATCCCCTTGGCCGTGTGCATGCAGATGCCCAGTCTATACCAACTTGTTCATATTCCCACACAGGACTACACACACCTGCTTACTAGCACATCCTCGCACAACCAACATGCTCCCTCTCTCCCTCCGGACCCTTGACCTGTTGGTTTTTCTGTGTTGCAGTCCCGAGAGCTGGATGACAGCAGCAGCGAGTCCAGTGACCTTCAGCTGGAGGGCCCTAACTCCCTCAGGTTTGAGAGCCTGGATGAGAGCCTCACAGACCTCCAATCAGAAGTCAGGCCCCTGGTTTTCTTTGACCTCAAGCTTGACAATGAAAGTGGGTTCTCTGATGACCATCCCCACTCCTTTCTAACTTAGTCTCTAAGTCCCCAAGATAAGTACAGGCAGAGCCATGTGCAAGGTCCAGGAGAGCCCTGAGCTCTGGCCAGTGACCGGAGCCAGAGAGGGGAGAGGAAGCGTGCATTGCATCTCCCCTGAGACTCCCAGGTGTGCCACTTGGTTGTTTGAATAAGGACAACTGCCTTGACCAGTGCCTGAAAGCATGAGGCAAGTGCCTCCATGAGCATGGAGGAACACTCTGAGGAGTGCTTCTCTTACATGGAGAACCCTGGGAAGACACCTCTAAACAGAAACCAGGGAATCACTGCTATGAGAACAGCAACTCAAGCCAGGCATTGGGCTGTGTGATTGCACATTTCTGGGTACAAGACCTATTCCACAGGGGGCTGCACACGGAAGCCAACAGAGCTGAGGTCACAGAGAGATAAGACCCCTCTCCCAGAAGTCGCTCAACTCCCATAGTGTTTGCTAGGGCCGTGCCTTGTGGCATAGACTCAGCCTGGGGCTAGCCCAGCCAGCCAGAAGCAGCAGGTGTTCCTGAAGGACAGGGAAGCCACAGACCTCACAGGAGGCTCTGGGCCACTCTTAGTGCAGTAGATTGCACAGGTGTGCTGTCTCTCCCAGGGCTCCAGCTGGCTGGGAGCCTTAGCTAAGTGACTGATGACTGGAGGCCAAGGGTAGGAAGTGGAGGGCTAGGTAGAAACTGTGAGGGGTCTGGAGGGTAGGTGGGTGAGGCTGACAGAAGAGAGACAGGAGGGACCTGGATCTAAAGGATTTGGTGAACTTGGAGGCAGGTGGCAGGGGAGGGGGAAGCTAGACTCCCAGCCAGTGAGCAAGGGGTGGTTGAGGGCAGCAGATGAAGGCTGACGTTTGGTTCCTGACAGCAGTCCCCAAGGCGGGGCCTCTGGATAGTGGGTCAGCAGCCCTGGAGGTCCCCCAATCCCGCCCAGTGCCTCCCATGTCCCTGAGGCCTCACCCTGCCCTTCTCTCCTGCCCAGCCCAGAAGATTAGGCAGCTGGCAGCAGTGAACCAGGAGAGCAAGTTCCGAGTGCTCATCCAGCCCGAGTCCTTCAGCACCTACTCCAAGGCGGTCTCCCTGGAGGTGGGGCTACAGCACTTCCTCCGCTTTCTGAGCTCCATGTGCCGTCCCACCCTGGCCTGCTATAAGCTGTGGGGGCCCAACCTCCCCAATTTCTTCCAGGCCCTGGAAGACATGAACAGGCTATGGGAGTTCCGGGAGGCCATCTCCGGCTTTCTGGCCACCCTACCCCTCATCCAGGAGCGTGTGCCCCAGGCCAGCAGCTTCAAACTCAAGAGTCTGGCTAAGACCTATCTGGCAAGAAACATGAGCGAACACAGTGCCCTGGCCACTGTGCTGACCATGCGTGACCTGTGCCGCCTCCTCGAGGTCTCCCCAGGCCCCCAGCTGACCCAGCACTTCTACTCCTTCAGCAGCTTGCAGTGCTTCGGGTCCCTGCAGCCCCTGGTGCAGGCAGCTGTCCTGTCCCGGGCCGAGGCCCGCCTCCTGGCCCTCCACAATGTGAGCTTCGTGGAGCTGCTGACTGCATACCGCCGAGACCCACAGGGGGGCTTAAAGAAGTACAGCCGCTATCTGCAGGCCACCTCATCGCCCCCTGCACAGCCTGCTCTCAACTTGCAAGCTATGAACACCTACTTCAAAAGCCTGTCGGAGAGACCAGCTTTGGCAGTGGCGGAAGGCATCTCTACCCCTCTTGTTAGCCACAGCTTGGCCCAAAGGGCTTCCCAGCAGAGCTGAGATGAGGGGATGACTGGCTTGGAATCTCTGGGGACAGAGAGGGATGGTGTCCCTCAGCTAGGCCCTGCCCATCACAGCATTCCCAGATCCTGGTCCCCAGTACTCAGCTGACATTTGGTCCAGAATTAGTTCTCGTTCTCTGGGATCAAATATTCCTTGTCTAAAAATCCCACAGAGAAGGTTCCAAGGCCAAGCATCCACCCCCTGGAGCCACCAGATCCCTGGTGCACCATTGAGTTAGCTCACTAGGCCCTCGGCGCCTCCCTTCTGGGAGCCAGAACAGGAGATCCTTGGTGAAGAAGGCCTGGCCTCTGGGCTCTCTAAGTTGCCCCCACCGTGCCCCAGCCACCCGGCCTGCCACTTCCATGGGTGTATTGCAGCTCCTTCCTTATCCCCGGCCACTGCCCAGGGGACCTGCTAGCAGCTCCCATGGATACCACCTGCAATATCAGTGGCCCCACAGGTACCCAAAGTGCCCTTCAAACTAACTGCCCCTCATTAGCTTGGGTTCTCCCAGCCTCTGCCTGCCTGGAGGCCAGCTCCCTGTTCACTTCCCTCATATCTGCAGACAAGCTGCTGTGCCATGCCTATCCTCATTTCCCCCAACATTTGCTTCCTTCCTCTTGGCCACAGGAACACCTCCCCTTAGTCAAGGCTTTGCTCTTTGGTCCTCAGGCCACTAACCCCTCTCAGCATGGCCCTTGGCTATGTCTGCCTGCCTGCCTCAGCCCTGCCAAGAAATGTCCTCTAACTCAGTGCGGCTGTCTGTGTGGCCCAGGGACCCACACCTTGGTTTCCCCCAATAGCCTCCTCCCCAGACCTCTGGAATTGGCCTGGAATCTAGGGTGGGACCCAGCTCGCTGCTTAGTTTAACAGGTTGTCCAGGTGTTGCTGATGCCCGCTGAGTTCCAGAACCATTGCTGTGTAGACTGCTCCTCGAAGGAGAGGCAGTGTGAGAAAGTCCTGGCCTGACCCCAACTGTGCATCAATGTGACCTAAGAAAAGGCCCCTTCCTGGGCTCCCTTGTCCCCACCTGTGAAAAATGGCTGGTTGGCCAGGATGATCCCAGAGTCCTATTCAACTCTGCCATTCTGGGGTTTTAAGAATGGACAACAGGCCACTGAGGCAGTGGACAAATGGTTTAATTTTTTTTTTTTTTTAACATATCTTTATTGATTTCAGAGAGAGGAAAGGAGGGAGAGAGAGATAGAGAGATAGAAACATCAATGATGAGTCATTGATCGGCTGCCTCCTGCACGCCCCTGACTGGGGATTGAGCCTGCAACCCAGGCATATGCCCTGACCAGGAATCGAACCCCAATTGCCTGGATCCTAGGTCAGTGCTCAACCGCTGAGCCACACCTGGAAGGGCATGGTTTCATTCTTGAACCCTAGCCCCCAGCCCTAAGCTAAGTTCCCCAACCTGTGGTCATACCAGCGGTCAGCAGCAGAGCACTAGCAGGTCAGACCTGTCCCTTCTGACTGGCAGAACCACTGTTCCCTCCCCCTTCCCATCCCTGTTCCTTGGTTGTTGATATTGGGATGCAACCCAGACCCCCAGCTTCTATGGGCTCAGCTTTTACAAGGGTGAAGTCTGTGTGCCCACACCTCAACCTCCATCCATTGGGTGCCCTGAAAACCCACTAAGGAATGACATAGAATCTTGCTACCACAGCAAGGGCGCTGGCTCTAACAGTGAACTTGGATGCATTTAAAATAGGATTCCAATTTAAAGCAGGTGCTGCCTCTGAAGCTTGGCAGTAACAGGCTGATGCGGAGAGGGGAAGAGGGTCTGGGGCCCTGGCCTGGCTATGATGGCCATTGTCTTGGCAGCTGCAAGCCTGGCCTTAGATTAAGAGGTGCTCAACAATCCTAGCTCAAGCCCAGCCCCACAATGCCTTTTACCTTCAGATGTAGTTCATCACAGCTTTTATAACAAAGTCTGTTCTGCCCTCTCTTCACTTTCACAGCCTTTAATAAAGACGTGAATCTTCAAAGCCTGATGCTGCGCACCCTGGAGCCACTGAGCAGCCTCCTGCCTGGTGAGGGGGTACTTCCAGGCCTTGGAGAGCTGTTCTTTGTGGGGACCTTTCAGGACTTTGCAGATCAGAAAGCCCCTTGTTGCTCACTGCTGAGGGCCTCATGGATGTGAACCCCCTGTTCCATGTGGGAAAATGAGGGTGGGCCTGTCCAGGATTATCTCCAAAGGGGAGAGCCATGAGGAGGGAATGAAGCGCCAGCTTCAAGGATTACCCCTAGAGGAGGTCAGGAGCCAGATACCAAGGTCTGTTGGAACTTCACCTCTGATCCCTGCTGGGTAATCTTGTCCCTTGTCTGTGTCCCCAGAGCAGCAGGTGGTAAAACCCTTGGCAGGTAGGGGAGGCCCAGGATCTTAGTAATGTGTGACCAGTGTGTTGTTGTCTTGTATGTCACAGATGAAATTCACATTAGTACCTGCAGGGATTCCTGTGGCACAGGCAGTGTAGATGGTAGCCTTCTCTTGGCCGGGGTGAGCAGCCAGGTAACAAGATTTGGTCACTGTCACCACCCTTAACCCCATCTTCTTGTCTCAGGTGCCCAGATTCCAGTCCTGAAGTTTAATCTCTAAAAGCAAGTCCAAATATGTCACCTGTGCCTCATCTTTGAATTCTGTGTTACGTTTATCCATGTCAGCTACCCACGAGTCTGCTGGGCTAGAGGTTAGGACACTGAGTTTCAATCCTCACTAGCCTAGGACTGGTCTGGTACATCAGGCTCAGGCTCTGACTGTAAACCGAGGTGGGTGTCATTTTTACCTCATAGGATATTATGTGAATCAGTGAGAAAATGCTTGTGAAAATAGCACTTTAATATGTGAAGAACCACACAAATGTAAGATCTTATTTTACAGACAGATGACAGTGTTATTGCTTTATAAGTTATAGAAAAATAAAGATATTAGAGCTTAGCAATGAAAGTCCATGGGCTTGTCTTCAGGGGAATGAAGAACAATATCTGGGACAGAACAGTTATCTGTCAGACCCTGGGTCTGAGCGAGCCAGGAAGGAGAGCAGGGGAGTCCACCTCGGAGTGGCTAAAAAGTAGCTGGCCCTGTTTCCCCACTACACCCAGATGGGAGAATACAGCTAAAAGCAGATTTCCTGTGACAGCTCAGCCCTGCTCTAGTGCCTCCTCCTGAGGCCCAAGGGCTCACTCCCACCCCAGGAAGTTCACTTAAAAATCTGCTTTAATCCCAACCTTGGTCTCCAACCTGCATAACACCTATCTGCTACCTGGTGCCTGGCTGTGCTGTACTCCTGCCCTGCACCCTCCCCTCATCCAGCACTGGTCTGCCTTACTCCCATTCCTGTTCTTACCCTAGACTCACTCTGAGCCCTTGTCCCAACCTTGACAATACTTCATACCTCAGAGTTTATCCTGCACCCTAAACCTCCCAGCAGGCCCAGCCCCTGCCCTGCTCCTGTCTTCTCCTCTGACTTCAGACTTGTCTCTGCCACAACCCCTATGCCTAGAGTAAGGGGATCCTTTATCACCTTTCTTCACTCACAATTAAAGGAACCCCACAGCTAGTAATATCAAATGTCAAGTCAAAGAGTACATTCTGCCCAGAGGGAAGCAGAACTGAGCTAGAGCTGTTCCCAGACTCTGCCAGCAGAGGGCGCACAGCCCCATCTGGCCTGATGTGGAGGCCGCCGCTCTCGTGGGTGGGAATTAGTGGTGCCTGGGAGATAGAGTGCCACTCATACTTCTGGTGGTATGGGAGATACTATTAGGTAGATAGTGTGTGGAGAAACATTTTTAAAATATTAATAGTTTCTGGGATATACTTGCTCAGAATGCCTCTACAGTGGGGTTCTTTAAAAGTCTAACTTAAAGACAAATATTAAGTAGCTACAAGCTCAGAAAGAACAAAGGTATAGGAAAACTTGTGACTGTGGGAGTGAGTGACTTAATTTTGGAAAGCCCTGGGTTACTGTTGGAATTATAATGAGGTTTTTATGAATGAGGGTTAGAGCAAAGGTGAAAGCCCAGGTTAGAATTGGGGTAAGGATGGGGTGGGTTAGGAGTTGGGGTGAGGCCTAAAGTTAGGATTTGAGGTTATATCAAATTTAAGGTCATATTTGGTGATTAAGGTTAGGAATGAAGTTAGGAATTTAATTAGGAATGGAGTTAGAGTCACTTTGGGGGCCACAGGTATTTGTCACTTTAGCAACTGAAAAGTCCATGAAACTGTAGATAGATGGGGAGGAGCTTCTGAGGAAGATCCCCTAACTTGGCACCCCAAGGGCAGTGACCCCCTCTAGCATCCTCTACTAGAAGCACCCAGCAGGGGTTCTGCCTGAACTCACAGAATGGGGAAGGGGCAAAAGCCCAGGAGTGAGAGCCCTAGAGTCTAGGGCAGCCAGGTGACTAATGCTCCCAACTGACAAGACTAAAAGAGAATTAGGCACTAGACACTAGGTGTCTTCTTGTTTAGCACAAGTAACCTCATTTAGTCTCCCCAACAACCCTGTGCTGTTACACCCTCACCCTCACATTACAGATGAACATAGGATGGAAGATTGAGTACCTTGCTCAAGGTCATTAAGCTTGTATGTGGCAGAGTTGGGATTTTCCCCACAGGGAACCTGTGTCTAGACTGGAGCCATCTGAGGCGCACACTGCCGGGTGTATTGCTGTGTGTTGGGGGAGCCAATTTTCTGTTCTCTCCTTCCTGTGTCCTCCTGGTCTGCTGGTTTCATAAGACGCAAAATTCAGGCCCCAGAAAGCTCACACCCCATCCTTCCATTCCCAGCATGTAAACTTACCTTATTTCTAATTTTTTCTTTTAGAATACTGTTTCTCAAACCTTTTATTCCATTATTGCCCCCATAAGTAGACTTTTTAGACATTTTTTCCTAGTCATGACTCCCTGCAATGAAATTTTAATACCATAGATACACTATAGATTCTTTAGGATTTTCTACATACAAGATTATGTCACCTGCAAATAAAGAACATTTGCCTTCTTCCTTACACAAATGTACTGTATATCTGTCATGTACGCTGGTCCTTTGGAGAGTCAAAAACCACTGGGATTTCTGAGATTGTTAGTGGTCCCCCCCAACCAGTCTTTATTCTCTGTAACATTGCCCCTGTTGAGAACGCATGATTTTGGGGAAGGCCATATCCCCAGTCACGATGCAAGTCAGCAGTGTCAGGGTACCAACCTCTCCATTTGGCTTAGCTCATAGGAGGAGAGAAGGTGGGACCAGGTTGCAGCGAGGTGGAAGGGAACATGGGCAAAGGTCTCTGAGGACACGCTTCCCTGGAGTGGAGCATGAGGCTGGGGGAGGGAGCAGGGCAGCATCATCATTTATTTTTGTGTCCGAATCCAGGTGTCAGCTCCAGACCCTTTGGATTTGAATAAAGGAGATGCCGTGGTAACTCTGTTGAGAGAAGGGCCTAGAATTCTAACGGACTCCCTGCCTCAAAAAAAAATGAAACAAAACAAAAAGTTTGGAAGTCTCTACCCACCCTTACAAAATACATTTGCTGACAAATGAGGGGGAAGTTCTTTCATTCTTGGCTCAAGGGACTTCCTTAAACTCAGCTCAGAGGAATTCTTTAAAGACTGGGCTATGCTAAAGCCAGTTTATAAATATAAATATCCCAAACTTGATAGCCAAGCAGATTGCAAAAGCTAACCACAGATATTTTCCTCAAAGCTAGCCAGCCAAACAAGTGTGATCGGGAGTATTGTGAAATTCAGTGTCGCTTGTCTGATTGTCTAAACTGTGTGTTTCCCAGGCTGAGTGCAGAGGGTCTGGGGGCAGAATTTACCCAAGGGCTGACTCTCTCCTGGAGTTCTACAGCCATAAAGCCTTGGCTGATACCAGGGTGGACCAATCCTCCTGGAAACCCGACCAACCAAGGAGGAAGTGCCCATGGTCATGCCCTTTTCATGTCTGCTTGGGAGCGGGGAAGGGTGCCATGTGGTATTTAGAACATGGGCTTTGCAGGGCACCTGGTTCTAATGCCAGCTCTGATATGTGGACTTGGAGAAACAGCTTAGCCTCTTTGGTCTCATGCAAACTGGGGGTGATAATACAGACTTGGAAAATTGTGAGGATTAAATGAAAAAACACATAAAGCACTAAGCTTTGTGAATTGGCAATGTTCAATAAAACATAACTACATCCATCACCCTAGAGGAGAAGCCATTGTGTATTGGGGGAGCCTGTTTTCCCTCCCTTTCCCCTCCCCACCCCCCTCCCCTCCACTTCCTTCCTTTCTCTGTTCCTTCTTCCCTTCTCTCTCTCTCCTCTCCTTGTTCTGGTTGATTTAGAATCTGGGTGACTCTGTCCCCAACTACTTCTCCTGGTTCCTCTGTTCCCATCTCTCTAAGTTTCCTGCACTGTCTCCTCTACCCTGATGGGGTCACCCTGCAGGCTGGAAGGATTTACAGCCCCCACCTGGCTGTCAGCCATCTGCAGGAAGGTCACTGTCTTTCAGTACCACCAGAGATGTGGTTTGGACAGAGGACGTCCTGGCAGAAGCTAATAAATACATCAAGTTTCCAGCTGGGTCTGGAGATAAGGCCTCAGGGAGAGGAGACTGAAGCACTCACAGGCACTACATGGGTTCACCCTCCCTGACCTGTCCACACTGGCTTTCCCAGTAAAATCTATTTGGGTTCACTTCCAATAGGTTGCAGAGAGTTATGCCTGGGGGTTGTCCCTCTGGGAAGGTCCTGCATGTAGGGACCCTTCCTCATTTTAGATTGGGTAGGGACAGGTCTGAGGAGCTACTGTCCCAGCTGAGCAGGTGGGTGGGGAGGGACATTTAGCCCCACAGCACAGGAGAAACTGAGGCCAAGAAAGGAAAGAGACTTTTCCAAAGTCTCACAGAAAGTCAATGGAAAAGCAGGTACAACCCCCTAACCACTGATTTCCTGCTCCTAGCTCCCTTACACCAAATTGTACCTGGTTGTCCCCAAGACTTGGCCATCAGAACTGGCCTTACCTGGGTGTAAAATTAGAGGCACCTCTGCAATGTGCCAACTCAGGAAGGGCTCTCCTTCCTGCAGATCTTGGCTCCAACCAGCTGCCTGGCTGGAGGTACTCTCTCTGTGGGGCCTGGATGTGGGGCAGTGTGCTGTTACTAGAGATGCTCCAGTCGAGGCACAACTCCAGTCTCTCTTAGGGGGCTGCTCCAATCGAGGCACAACCCCAGTCTCTCTTAGGGGGCTGCTCCAATAGAGGCATAACCCCAGTTTCTCCTAGGGGGGGAAGAGGGGTATAGAGGGCTAACACAGACCTGAAGTGGACCACCTGTCCCATCCAGAAACAACCGTCAGAGAGGCCTCATCAGAGAGTCTCAAGGGCCTTCTAACCAAGGTCAGTGATGGCAACCAAGATTGGCCTGTTGTGGACCAGAGCAGCTGTACACTGGGGGCATTTCACAGTCCCACCTACCCTGTGACCTCCCTCTTGACCTGTCTTCCCTCCAATAAAGTGAAGGAATAGGGATAGAGGACCTCCAGGCTCCAAGCTCTGCTGCTCTGTGACTCTGGACAGCTCTCTGTCCATTAAGGGGGGCGCAGGCTATCTTTCCAGGTGATCTGTTGGAGCAGATGGAGCAGATGGAGATGCTAGACTTCCAGAAGCCCTAAGGTTCACACACAGGAGACCTGAAGGTGCTGAGAGGTGCAGGAGCCTGTAAGGTCTCTTAGGGCAGAGATGCTGTCTGCCTGGTTCACAACTGTACCCATGCCTGGGGAGACTCAATTACTATTTGTGGAATGGATGACAAAGCAGAACCATTTCTGCATGCCCATCCCTTGGCTTCACATGCTTTGCTTCTGACGTCTCACACCAGCAACTTTCTTCCCAGGCCTGCCCTTGGGCTACTGGAGCTGATTGCCTATATGTACAGAGAGGGAGATGCCCAGAAGTTTCCGTCCAC